TGCTTGCCTTGCATCCGTCCATGCGTGAGTTTGACAAACAGATGATCATTATGATGGATAACCTGGGATAAATATAATAATAAGATCCAGCTGCGCCCAAAGGACGCAACTCCGGACAGCGAATGTCGAATTGGCCACCAAAACTCGAGTCAGGGTGAGTTACGATTTTAAGTCACATCGGCAGTATTTCAGCCACATGGTGATGGATATAACAGTAATACTGTTCATACGTTCTAGTAGCACTTGCTTAGAGCAATGTTCCTGATGTCAATCACTGGATTGTCTGGTTCAAATAATTACCAATACAACGTGTTTAGCGTGGAACATACAGAAAAGTGGCGCGCGGGTGAAAAAAGCGAGCACTGGCATGCTGTAGAGATTCGACGCACAAGAGTTATGATCCTGGCATCTAAGCTGCATAACTTTCGACAAGGAAGTGGCGTAGCAATAGCACCAAACTGAAAAGGGTGTGTGTTGCATCAGAGTGAGTCTGTTAGTGAGTGAGTGAGTTCTCAAATATAGTAGCAAAATCCACCGAACCTGAAGGAGAACTGACGTAATAAGAGTGAGTGAGTGAGTTAATATTTAACGTCACATCGGCAATGTTTCAGCCACATCGTCGCGAGAATAATTGTTACGTTTTTTAAAGAATATGTATGTCTTATAATACCTGTCGTCAAAGGAGTGAGTGAGTTAATATTTAACGCCACATCGGCAATATTTCAGCCATATTGTGAAGACAAAAAGTTATGTACTAAGAATAAGCATATGTATACTTATTTAAAACTAGAATAACACAAATCGATTAGAACTAGTTTGAGTTCACTGTAAAATGTTAAATATCAAAACAACACAATATAAAATCGGGCTATAGATCGCCAACAACTGAAGGCAGATCACTATATTAGGGACCATGGGGACTTACAGTACATTTGCTTCCTGCATGGGCCCTAGCTAGTCGTCAAAGGACAGTAAAACAAGTAGACTATCACTGTTTGAATTAAAACTAGTATGTGAAGTTAAAACTAATAGCACTATTTGGACAATACAATATAAAAACAGGCTATAGATCGCCAAAACCTGAAGGTAGATCACCATACTGGGGACCATGGGGGGCGTACAGTGCCCTTGCTACATGCATGGACCCAAGCTAAAGGTTATATGAACATCATGCGAGCCTAAATATACTGAACCCAGGGAATATAGGGGTCCGTGCACACAAATGTGGTTTGCGTGTACTCGGGTTCATGTACATTTACCCGTGAAGATCCGGGTTAGGATTGGTCTAAAGCATGAGACTGTAAATGACAACTCCCATTCAGAGTGTTCCTCCACCCGCTGAAACAAATAGTTATTCTAAAATGGCTTTCTGAAAGTATATTTTGCAGTTGACAGAACTATACATATTTCGTTGAAGACTATTTCAACACCCATATATATAAGCAGATTCTGGCACACCTAAGCGAGGATACTCTGATTAGTTTCTATAAACATTTTACCAGACTTGGAATCCGAACCAGAACCGCCAGCCATAAAGGGAACTAACTGGCAGCAACCTGAATGCATTTTGTCAGGGTGAAGAAATTCAAAGTAAAAACTTTGATGATGCACATACTTTAGAGTGAGGCCGTATCGCAAGTGAGCGTGATTTTGGCTGGGTACTTAAAACAGGAGCGTGTGATTTGAGGTGAGGATTGATGCAATTTACTTTATGTAGGTGCACTAGATTTGTAGTCACCACTTATAGAAAGTGTGTATAACAGGTGTGATTTGCTTCCAATTCTTACAGCAAGATTTGACGTCAGGAAGTATTGTAGGAACAGACAATTGGTACAGCAAGTGCGCGTGATTTGACGTCAGGACGTATTGTAGGAACAGACAGTCGGTACAGCGTGTGTGCGTGATTTAACGTCAGGATGTATTTTAGGATAAGACAGTCGGTACAGCAAGTGCGCGTGATTTGACGTCAGGACGTTTTGTAGGATCAGACAGTCGGTACAGCAAGTGCGCGTGTTTTGACGTCAGGATGTAATGTAGGATCAGACAGTTGGTACAGCAAGTGCGCGCAATTTGACGTCGGGACGTATTGTAGGATCAGACAGTCGGTACAGCAAGTGTGCGTGATTTGACGTCAGGATGTATTGTAGGAACAGACAGTCGGCAGAGCAAGTTCGCGTGATTTGACGTCAGGACGTATTGTAGGAACAGACAGTCGGCAGAGCAAGTTCGCGTGATTTGACGTCAGGACATATTGTAGGAACAGACAGTCGGTACAGCAAGTGCGCGTGATTTGACGTCAGGCTGTATTGTAGGAACAGACAGTCGGTAGAGCAAGCGGTTGTTTAATCAGGATGGATCGTAGGTAATCATTGTGATGCAGCAATGTCCATGTTTGTGGCTGCATACAACTGCAATTTGTCCGTCTTTTCAGGCCCGTGAAGAATTGGTCTTCAGCTAACCCATGCGTGTCGGAAAAGGCGACTAACGGGATAGGGTGGTGAGGCTCGCTGACTTCGTTGACACATGTCATCACATCCCCATGCGATGACCGATGCTCATGATGTTGATCACTGGGTTGTCTGGTCCAGACTCGATTATTTACAGACCGCCTCCATATAGCTGGAATAATGCAGAGTTTAGCGTCAAACAGCAAGCCAACCAACCGTCTTTTTATGATGGAGGAGTAAAATACGAGAAACGGGAGGTAACTCTCCTGTACAAGTTATAGGATTATTGAAGCATTGATGGCTTGCAATTTGTCAAATGCAATTTCTAATCCCCTCGACCCTCACCGACTTAGGAATATGATGTAGTCATTCGATTTGAGGCAGTAGTCGAGTATAGCTTTAGCAAGATCCAAACAATAGCAGGAAAATCAGAAATGGGCTTCATATACTGTATACATATTAGACAGCCGAAAATGGAATTTCGTGTCGATAACCGAAGGCTTTAACTACTTGGCTACTACACAAAATTAGAAGTAAATGATATGGACGCGTCTGTGTATATATCCATCAGACCTCAGAACATTTCACCGTCAGTAGGCAACCTATGTTATAATAAACAGCTACATATTGTTTGAGCCATCATGACGCCTACGAGCCGTCATACATACTGTATATGCCATATTTATAACTCTATTACTGGCAACATGCTAAGAAAAAAGAACAATTTGGTAGTAAATACAAATTGAAATGTATTTTTTCCTGTTAAAAAACTTCGCAACCGGAAATTATATTTATTGGCTTGAGAACCGAGCAGAGTAAAAAGAAATGATATGTTTGATATTTTTCCTGCAAGCGAAAGTCCTAGGGCCATCAGACCGGACACACATATGCATACTGAACTCAATGCAGGCAGTATGGAGACTTCATCTTACAGACACGATATCTGAGTATCTATGCAATTATGTAGTGCAAGGTTGGCATGGAAACCGCATGCTTTCTAGAGATGAGTGAGTGAGTGAGTGAGTTAAGATTTTAAGTCACATCGGCAATATTTCAGCCATATCGTGACTAAAGCAAGTTATAAACAATTTAAGTGAAATGATAAAATTCTGCCGACGAAGGACAGTAAAACAACTAGATTATCACAGATATACATGTAAAACTAGTAATTGAATCTAAAACATTTTAACTAGAGGGGACAACACAATATAAAAATGGGCTATAGATCGCTAACAACTGAAGTTAGATCACCATACTAGAGACCATGGGGACTTACAGTACATTTGCTTCCTGCATGGGCCCTAGCTGGATTCACATCATCCCTTCAGCTGTTAGCATTTGAGATATTCTAGAGATGAGGTTCAATAGAGTTTTGCCTTGTATTGAGAATATTTCTCTCATGTAGCGACGTTACTGTTTGTACGGCAGATAGCGTTTGTCCGTACTAGGTTCGGTTTTGTATTGCGTGCCCACTTAGATGCTATGCAGCGTTGACTCAAGAAATCCGAGAAGATCCTGGGTAGATGGTCTTCAGCAACCCATACTTGCAGTAAGAGGCGACTAACGGGTTTGAGTGATGATGTTCGCAGGTTAAATCATGTCATTGTATCACGATTAAATAGATCGATGCTCACGATGTTGATCACTGGATTGTCTGAGATTGTACTAATTGCAGGCTGCCGTCATAAAGCTGGAGTATAGCCAGTCGTGGAGTTAAACTATCGAACGAAACAAATCACCTGGCGGCATTTAAACAGCAGTGAAACTAACTAAGATAGACTTCTGAGTGAGTGTGTGAGTATGGCTTTACGTCCCTTTTTAGCAATATTCCAGCAATATCACGTCTGGGGACATCAGAAATAGGCACACATTTTACTCATGTGGGGAATCGAATCCGGGCCTTCGGCGTGACCAGCCAACGCTTTTACCACCCGGCTACCCCACAGCCCATTTACGTTCTGAAATGAAGTTTAACATTATGGCATAATGAGGTAGGTTTTTGGTTTGAAACATCTCCACATTTAAAGGAAACTAGATAATTAGCGATGCTATTGAAGTGAAATGTATTCCATCACATTTGAAAAACGTTTCGTTTGAGTTTCGTTAATCAGTGTCGGTAAGGCCTTATAAAAAATGTATCCGATTTGCCATTTCACATTTTCAGATAAAATGAATATTAATAAGTTTTCACAAAATGACATACCTCACATGTTGACAAATCTTTGTCTGATTACTTTCGAAAAAACCCCAAAGCATATCAATTGATGTCGGCAAGAACCCAGCTATATGAAACACCCGCTGGAATTATGTATATTTTACGAAAGCTTCCTTCACGTACATCAACCTTTGGATTATACGGATTCATTCATACACCTGCCAACCCAATACAATTGTAGAAGACCTTAGTACCTTGGCCTCCAGTGCTGCCCCTCCCACTGCACCCAATGCATTTGTAGAAGAGCTCAGTACTATGACCTCCAGAAAGCATACCACAGCAACCTCAACAAAGTAGTGAACGCTTGAACGTGCTTGAGACTGAAACATGTATTAAAGATGTCGGTATGCAAGAAGCAGCAATGTAAGAGCAGGAACTATGTCAAGACAGGTGAGGATCTGCAAACTCTGCAAACGCCTTGCCCGTGACGAAGTCTGACTCAGTTTGCTGATTCCGCCCCCTACCAGATACGTTTGTCATAAAGGTCCACAAATATCGTCATTATATTGTATATAACTCTAGTTGTATATCATTATATTCTATTACTGGCACATGTTGAATAAATGAATATAAAAAATCCCTTGTCAATTCTGTTAGCAGATAATCATTAGTAAACCAGTCGAATATATGTATGCAGTAATGAGCTTCACAACGTAGTCCGGATTATCCACTAAGAAAATGGATTAGCTCACAGTACAAACATTGCATTGTGCTACTGGCCAAATGCACCTGATGCAAACCTAACTTTCCACTCTGAAATACAGAAGGTCTGCCACTTTCATAAGGCGAATTCCCTATTCCACTCCGATTTCCGTATTGCACGGCTTGTTTAAATAGCGACAGTAAATTTGTATATGTTTAGATATCCGAAAATATAATTTCGAACCCTGACATTTACTCTCTGTGCATGCCATCTTCTCGTTCGATATATGTGTGTGCGCGTGCGCGTGTGTGTGTGTGCGTGCAAGAGCGCGTTTGTTAAACGAGAAGTAGCCATACTAAGCGAAATCATTTTCTAACTCGACCAGACGATGGATGGAACCGGGCCCATTCGCTCCACGTTAAGGTGAAGTAGGGGTCGAAGTGGTAAATTGGTGAAATTAACGCCATTCTTGGTACAAACACCCTCAACCACTTAGCATTGCCCAGGTTGCCCAATACCGTCGTCACGGTCGTCATATGTCAACCAAGTCAACGGGCCTGACCACCCGATCCCGTTAGTCGCTTGTTACGATAAGCATGGATTACTGAGTGAGTGAGTTAAATGTTATAGTCAAAGCGGCAGTATTTCAGCCATATCGTGACTTAAGACAGTTATAAATTCATGACAAATGCGCAAATTTTAAAAAACCTGTCAACGAAGGACAGTAAAACCAACTAGTATATCACAGTAATAGGAAATAAAACTAGCGTATATCTCTAAAATAGGATTTTAAATTAGGACAATACAATATCAAATAAGGCTGAGGATCGCCAACAACTGAAGGTAGATCACCACTCTAGGGACCATGGGGACTTACAGTACTTTGGCTACCTGCATGAACACTCGCTGTATTTATACTATCCCTTCAGCCATTGAACTAATATTCTACGATTAAAAAGGTGTGTAGAACTAAATTGACTGGGGAAGTTTTGGGACGTACGTACCCTCTCAGGAGGACAAATCTTTTACAGTACTTTAACCCCCTTCGAGGATATAGCCACTAACTATCTTAGTTGCTAATTTATTCTACCGATTATTAAATATCATTTATCTACTCACAAAAGATCGTTCACAGTTTTAACATTGAAATATTTATCCCTAGTGATGGAAAAATCAATGCAGTCAAGCAGGACATGTTTGACCGTGATTCTCTCATCACAAAGGATGCAAAACGGAGGATCCTCACCTTTTAGCAAATATTCGTGGGTGTATCTTGAGTGGCCAATGCGACATCGTCGCATGATGACCTCTTCAAATCTGGACTGACTACCCAAGTAAGTGTAACCGATAGTTGGTTTAATTACATGTAACTTATGTATGCCTACTAAGGTGTCCCACTTCTACTGCATTAGATCACGAATGTATAATCGAATGGTCACGTCGTAATCGGAGTATTGAATAAGAATTGGTGTCACAGCTTTGTTGAGTGCTGCCTTAGCAGCAAGATCGGCTATGGTGTTCCCAGAAGTGCCATTATGGCTGGGTGACCAACAAAAGACAATGTGGCATTGGCCAGTAGCAAGATCATAATACAATTCAATAATTCCAATTAAAAGTGGATGTTTACAAGAAAGTTTTTAAATATCCTGAAGGCACGAACGAGAATCGGAAAAGATTATGTATTAGTTATATTTACGGTGTTTATTGAAATATTTAAGAGCAGTTAATATGGCGTCCGCTTCTGCTGTCATAATAGAGCTGATATTACAGGCTCCCCCATATACGATGGAGCCGTAATCAAGGTTGGAACAGAGTAGTGCTCTGTATAATTGAAGGAGGGTTTTCTGATCTCCCAACATAGTGAGTGAGTGAGTGAGTGAGTGAGTTAATATTTAACGTCACATCGGCAATATTTCAGCTATATCGTGACGAGAACATTCGATATTGAAATGAAATATATGTATATTATAAAAAACCTGCCGACGAAGGACAGAAAAACAACTAGAATATCACAGATATGTATGTAAAACTAGTAATTAAATCCAAAATATGTTACTTTTAAATGACAATACAATATAAAAAACGGCTATAGATTGCCAACAGGAACCATGGGGACTTACAGTACATTTGCTTCCTGCATGGACCCTAGCTGGATTTACACCATCCTTTCAGCCGTTAGCAATTTAGAAAAATCTAGCCATACATTAAAAGAACAGATATTCTACGATTAAAAAAGTGGAACGTTTTAATTTACTTCGAATGATTTGGTATTTTACAGTACTTTAACCCCCCTCGAGGATACAGCCACTAACAATCTTAGTTACTAATTCAAACTTCCAATCTTAAAATATTTATGTATTTACAAATCATTTAACAAATCTAATTCTTTTAAAAATGCAATAATTAAATGAGAACTGATACTATCCTCCCCACTTAGTATTGGCAACAACTTCAGTAAGTCTAGGGTTTTCAGGTCAAGTGGTGATCAAATATTACACCTAGGAATTTAGCTTCTTTCACAACTTTTATAGGAGTGCCATCTAAAACTAAATCTGGGTCTCTGTGAGATTTGTATTTCCTACAGAAGTGGATACAATTTGTTTTTAACTTGGAAAACTTAAATCCATTTTCTAACGACCACTTATGAATTCTATTTAGACATAATTGTAACTGCCTTTCGATAGTATTCATATTCCACGACATGAAATGTTAAAATCGTCCACAAAAAGATATCCATCAAAGGAATCATGTACAACCTTTGAGAGACTTTTTATTTTAATGCTGAACAATGTGACAGATGAAATACTGCCTTGTGGGACACCCTGATCCTGATTATAAAGATCAGAGAGGGTAGAACCCACGCGGACTTGAAATTGCCTGTCAGTTAAAAACTTGGATATGAACTGAGGCAAACGGCCCCGTAATCGAAAATCATGTAAATCTTTTAAAATGCCATGTTTCCATGTAGTGTCGTATGCCTTTTCGAAGTAAAAACAGATGGACACTGCATGTTGGTTATTAATAATAGCATTTTTAACAAATGACTCTTATCGAACTAAATGGTCAATGGCACTACGATTTTTTCGAAATCCACATTGAATATTAGTTATTAAATTATTAGATTCCAAGTACCATGTTAGTCTATAATTGACCATGCGCTCCATGGTTTTGCAAACACAGCTTGTTAAGGATATGGGTCTGTAATTCGAAGGATTAGTATGGTCCCGACCAGGTTTGGAATGAGAACAATTGCTTCACGCCATGATGGTGGAAAGTGTCCAGTTGTCCAGATTTCATAAAATATGAATAGAAGAGGTTCCAAACATGGCTCTGGTAAGTGTTTCAGGAGCTGATAATGGATGTAATCAGAACCTGTAGCAGTATCATGAGGTTGCCCAAGGGCGGCATGAAGCTCATGAACAGAAAATAATTCGTTGTAATCTTCCCCATTTGCTGAATTGAAATTATAGCTTATTTTTCCTGTTGTTTTTGATATTTTTGGAATTGAGGTTCATAATGTGAAGAGGAAGAATGTTTAGCCAAAGTTTCACCACGTTTGTAGCAGTATCCGATTTTATTAGTCAACAGTTTGTCATCGTCTTTAAGATGGTGAATGCTAGATTTAGAACCCTTGCCTTTGATTTGTCTGGATCATATTCCATACCTTAGTCATCGGCGTACGTGTATTGATTCTATATACATAATTTTGCCAAGATTGGTGTTTACTTTGTTTAAAGGTACGCCGTGCTTTAGCATTTAACATTTTGAATTTGTTAAATGTAATGACTATAGGATGGTGACGGAAATAATTTTCCGCCCTTTTTCTTGCCTTCCTAGCTTGTTTGCAGTCGTTGTTGAACCATGGTTTACGTATGTGGGAAATCACAGAGGACTTCGGAATACATTCATCAGCTATAGTGGTTATTTCATCAGAAATAACATTTTATAGGATCAGGAACACAAATAAAAGGTTCAGGTTGAAGTTTGTCTCTACACAATGTTTCGTTTGCCTTTGTAAAGTTCCATCGTGACGATGGAGCAACATCAGATGGGTTACAGGTTGTGGAATGGTAAGGAAATGCTCACTACCACAGAGGACATCATGTACTGACCATTCAAATTCATTAAGCAAAGTTGGGTCTGCAATTGACAAATCAAGTGAAGAGTATGTGCCAGTAGCAGGATGTAAATATGTGTTCATATGAGATGTAAATATGTATCATTCAAAATATATAAATCATTGGCGGACAGAAATTCTGCTTTTGACAAGTGCACTAAGTTTTCTCTTGTAAGATTTGTCTGGTTCTGAGTTTTGTGTCAGTTGAACATCTGTTTGTGTTCCGGATACTGATGTGCCCGGCACAGAGGAAACTTGGTCCAGAATGATCTGATCATATTCACCCAACTGATCGACGTTTGGCAATGAGTAGAAACTCTGGAAGGTTTGACAATAGGTATAGGAGGAGAGGAAACTGCAGCTGTGTAAGAAATAGAAGAAGTCTGATATGGAACAGAAACTAACTTTTTTGCTTCACGATATGAAACATTATTAGTATATTTGAGTTCCAGTATTTTTTATTCTCGTTCAAAGACAGGACATGATTTGGAAGAGGCTGCATGCTCCCCGCCACAGTTGACACATCTGAGTGATTCATTTGTACACTCGGAACTCTCATGAGTGCCACCGCAACGGTAGCAAACAGTTTTCTTTAAATGACAAGACTTAGTGCCATATCCAAATCGTTGGCATTTGTAACATCTGAGTGGATTAGGTACGTATACGTCCACTACAATGTTGAAATGGATAGCTTTAATAGACTGTGGAATGGTCGGACAGTTAAATGTAAATAGGTAGGTATCAAAGATCTAAAAGCCAAATGCCTGAAGGCACTCGACTTGTTGAAAGTCGTTTCCAATTCAAAGTGGGGAGGGGACCAAACCACCCTCCTTCATTTGTATAGAACACTGGTCCGATCAAAATTTGATTACGGCTCTATCGTATATTGTGGGGCCTGTAAAAGCAACCTCAAACTACTTGATTCTATCCATCACCAGGGTCTAAGACTTTGTCTTGGGTCTTGCAGAACATCTCCCATGACAGTCTCTACATTGAAATAGATGAGCCATCTTTAAAACTTCGCCGTATCAAATTGTCTTTACAATATATCATAAAGTTATATTCCAATGAATCCAATCCTGCTCACAACTACGTTTTTAATCCTCTTTATGGGGATTTGTATATTAAAAAAACTTCATTTGTTCCACCTCTTGGGATAAGAATCCAACAAGGATATATCTCCTTCCCGTCTTCTTTCTTCTCCTCCTTGGCAATTAGTGAGGCCACAAGTTGACCTAACACTGACAAAGTTTAAAAACTCAGTAACTAACGAATTACAATATAAACAAGAATATAATCAATTAAAAAGTAAATATAAAACATACAAGTCTTTATTTACAGATGGATCCAAGGATGGTGGCTTGTGCCACTGTCATTGGATCCAGAACACTATCTTCTCGATTACAGGATAATAGCTCTATTTTCACAGCAGAAGGTAACGCCACATTAACAGTTCTTAAATATATTAGTAAAGACCGTAAATATAAACAATACATAAGCTTTTCCGATTCTCTTCCGGCTATTAGAAATCTTTCTTGTAAACATCCACTTTTAATAGAAATTATTGAATTGTATAACGAGCTTGCTTCTGGCCAATGCGACATCGTCCTTTGTTGGTTACCCTGCCATGTTGGCATTTCTGGGAACACAATGGCCGATCTTGCTGCTAAGGCAGCACTCTACGAATCTAAGACACCACTTCTTATTCCATACACTTATTACAAGGCTAGCATTAGAACTTACATCCGTGATCTGATGTAGAAGAAGTGGGACACCCAAGTGGATATCAATAAATTACATGAAATATAACCCTATATCGGTTACACTTATTTGGGTTGTCAGTCCAGATTTGAAGGGGTCATCATACGACGATGTCGTATTGGCCACACTAGATATACTCACAAATACTTGTTAAAAGGTGAAGATCCTCCGTTTTGTATCCCTTGTGATGAGAGAGTCACGGTCAAGCATATCCTGCTTGACTGTGTTGAATTCTCCATCATAAGGGATAAATATTTCAATGTAAAAACACTTAAGGATCCTTTTACCACTGTTAGTCCTCGTTTAATAATTGTTTTCTTAAAGTAATTGATTTCATTGATAAATTCTGATTAACGTGTTCTGTAGATAGATGTATTTAAATCATTGATAGTTTAGATTAGTAACTTAGATTGTTAGTGGCTGTACCCTCACAGGGGGTTAAAGTACTGTAAAATTATTGTCCTCCTGAGAGGGTACGTAAGTCCCAAAACTTTCAAAGTCTATTCAGATCTACACACTTTTTTAATCGTAGAATATTTGTTGTTTTATTCTGGCTAACTATCAGCACAATCGCCAACGGCTGAAGGGATGTTATAAATCCAGCTAGGGTCCATGCAGGTAGCCAAAGTACTGTATATCCCCATGGTCCCTAGAGTGGTGGACCTTCAGTTGTTGGCGATCCTCCGCCTTTTCTATATTGTATTGTCCTAATCTGAAATCCTATTTTAGAGATATATGCTAGTTTTATTTCTTGATATTGTGATATTCTAGTAGGTTTTACTGTCCTTCGATTACAGGTTTTTATAATTTACCATAAATTACTATGTATAAATGTTCTCGTCGTGATATGGCTGAAATATTGCCGATGTGACGATAAATTATAACTCACTCAGGTGACCATGAGGAAGCGTTTGAAGTGCTCCTATCCATGTCAGGTGGAGATGGAGTCACCTCCATATCCGGAGGGCCAAAGGAGTTATGGACCTCGACGGGGATCTCTAAAGGAGAGGTGGCCTTTGGTTTTGGGTTATGCAGTTGCTCAAGCTGCTTTAGTCTCTGTAGCTTCTTTTTTCCCTTTTGTGGCGCACAGTTTCTGGTTTTGCAAATCCCTCAGTACAAAATATTGATATGTCGGAACAAGCCCTCCATCAAGAATGGACGTTGTTGGCGATCTATATAGCCCGATTTTATATTGTGTTGCTTTGAAATAATTTAACATTTTACACTGAACTCAAACTAGTTTTAATCGATTTGTGATATTCTAGTCGTTATGCTGTCCTTTGCTGACAGGTTTTTACATAAGTATACATATGTTTATTCTTAGAACATAACTTTTTGTCGTCACAATATGGCTGACATATTGCCGATGTGACGTTAAATATTGACTCACTCACTCACTCATCAAGAATGGAACGCTATATAACCATCATTATCAGCACATCAAATATTTTCGCCATGTCTGCCTTTCTGACGAAATTACAGCTTTTCGTTCTTTCCTTTTGCGTTTAGATTTGCCATTTGAAGGTCAAGTGATCCAGATAGTAAGGTGAATTGAAGCTTGGATAATTCCTTTGCTATAGTTAATGGTGACATAACCATACTATAAAAATATGAGTGTGGGGCGATAGGTTTTGAACATGTGTCTGCATAAACCTTCAATGCAAAATGACTACCATCGATCACACGATTCCAGCTGCTCATAGCTATCACGTGTTGTATTCTCTGCAATCCCTAATGCAGTGTCTAGATATTAAGGAAATTTGAGCAGTAAGAGGCGTCCAAGATAGTCCCAAAGATGGTTCATATCAGGGCTGTTTGTGGGCCACGATAATGTTTTGATGGCGTTGTTCTGCATATAGGTGATGACAGCAGTTCTGTGGCCTAGGTCGTGGGAATACGACTTAATTAGGACTTCGTCATGACAGTCACAAATCGTCCTTGGTCTTCCATGTCCTGGACGATCCTTTACTTCACCAGTGGCCACATGCTTTCTCATGACGGTGTAACGTGCTTAATGTCATCACCGTCGTTGCAACAGGACATCCCTGCGACATACATATCATATCAATAATTTGTCATTGTGTATTCTTAAGTCTAACCTCTTACCATGTCAATAGAAAATATGTTTTAGTGTTAGCGTTTTCTCGCTTAGTTCAATAAACTTTAGTGCGCGAAGTTTCTACCCCAGTGTGCTTCACATGTGCTTTGTTTACCCAGCATGCTTGCATATGATTGCTTAACCCATGAAGGTCCGGGTTAGAATTGATCTTCAGTAGCTCATGCATGTCGTAAGAGGCAAATAACGGGATCGGGTGGTCAGGCTCGCTGACTTGGTGGACACATTTCATCGGTTCCCAATTGCGCATATCGATTGATCACTGGACTGTCTGGTATATTTCTGAGTGTGGCGTAAACCTAAGCTCACTCACTATGACTGCTTAGAAACGTTAAACTGCTAATGGATTCAGGTGGTGCTCATTTAATTTATATCTGTGTGTATCTACAACATTCAGTTATACGAGATAATCTAAAGAAGGGGAAGCCACACAACGTCCTTAACACAATACATCAATGTTTAAGGTTTTCACACACCCAATTTTGTCAAGTAAAACAGAAAACTACTGTGTTCAAGTTTCAAAGAAATACCAACAGTGACCTTCTTTGGGATCATAGTGCGCTGCTGACACAAAAAGAGAGATGTTCATCAGAAGTAAAAGCAGACTTTACATTAGAATTCAAACTAAATCCATTCTTATCTCATATTTTAGCTTTAACTGACAACAAAACCCGGCGTAATGCCGAGTTGTAATGAAGTGTGAAAGGGACTTTCAGTCAGAAGTTAACAAAAAGCCTCAATGCCTTAGTTTAACTTCCAAGATCGCTGCAGAGAGACGGCTCCGAACAATTTACTTTTACTGGCACCTTAAGCTAAGAGAATATTTCAGTCTTTATTCTATGAAATATTTACTGCAATGAATGATGCTAACCAATTGTAACATTTTCATATACACATTCACAGATGTGAAGAGGAACTACCCTAGAAAACGTGAAGTTAACAAGCAGGACTCATTTGCTAACAGCCCACTTCACAATGCCTGCAAGAAGGGCGACTTGAAACGGGTGAGACGCATCCTGTCCCGGGGTTTGGTCGACATGAACATCAGAGACGAGAAGCATGGAGGGACACCACTCATGGTGGCAGCACAGGAGGGACATTGCAGAATATTCTCCTATCTCATCAGAAATGGGGCTGACATGGCACAAGTGGATAATGATGGTAAGAACATCCTTCACTGGGCATACAAGGGTGGACATATGGGTGTGGTAGAGTGTGTACTCCCACTGTACGGTGTTGATATTAACAGCATGCATCATCCCGCCATTAAGCAGGCTGCATGGGGGGGGGGACAAATAGACGTTGTTGAGTTCCTCTTGTGTATGGGAGCAAATGTGTCACAAGTGGATGACGGTGGCAGCAGCGTTCTGCACTGGGCCTGCATGGCCGGACATGTGAGCATGGTGCAGTATCTGCTCTCACAGGGCAGTGTTGATATTAACAGTAGAGGATTTGACGGAATCACCCCCTTGATGGTGGCTGCACGATTTGGACATGTTCTATTTCCTGGTATGTATGGGAACTAATGTATCACACGTGGACGATTACCATGACAACATACTCCATTATGCCTCAAATGGAAGACATGTGATGATGGTAGACTTTAACTCTGTAGGAAGATTCGGAAGGACCCCGTTGATGAGGGCAGCGTATGTTGGACGGATAAATGTATTTGACCAACTTGTGAAGAAAGGTGGTCTTACTCGCTTAGTTGATGACAACGGTAATAACATCCTTCATCTCGCCTCATTAGGTGGACGTGTGGGGATGGTGAAGCATATCCTCTCACTTGACATGGCCGACATTAACGCCAGGGACAAGGATGGGAAAACAGCAGCTATGATAGCCAAGCGTAAAAGAAAACTTAACGTGTAGAACCTTCTTGTTTCTCGGTGCTGTCCATTGATATAAGTGCAGTTTGTGGGTTTATATCACGCATCCCGATATGGTAGCGGTTACCAACAGCACAATGGGACACTCTACTTTTATGACTTGCAAGTAACATACATTGATGACGTTGTGGTATTTTAATATCGGTTGTTGTCTGCAGGTAGTACAGGATCCCGTGTAGTTTATGACGTGTGAGTGAGTGAGTTAAAATTTAAAGTCACATCGGCAGTATTTCAGCCATATCATGACAAAATCGAGTTATAGATTTATTGATAATTAAAGGTAAATTATATAACCTGTCAACGAAGGACAGTAAAACAACTTGAATATCACAGATATAAATGTAAAACTAGTAATTTAATCTGAAACATTTTAACTTTATATAACAAGATAACATAAAAGCAGGCTATAGATTGCCAACAACTGAAGATAGATCACCACACTAGACTAGGGACCATCGGGACTTGCAGTACTTTTGCTACCTGCATGGACCCAAGCTGGATTTACACCATCCCTTCAGCCGCTTGCAATTTAGACAAATGTAGCCATACATTAAAAAGGACATATATTTTAAAATGTGGCGAGATTAAATACGCTTTGAAAGACGTGGTCTTATATACCATCTCATGGGAACAACAATTTTACACTATTTTAACCCCCTCAGTTACGAATTCAATCTACCAATTTTAAATTACTATTATCTGTATAAAACATATAATCAGAATTTATCAAATAATTATATTTCTTTAAAAAAAAAACAAAAAAAACCCCAACAATTATTAAATGATAAATTACATTATAAAAAATACCCGTAATTGTTTTGACATTGAAATATTTATCTCTTGTGATGGAAAAATGAATATAGTTGTAGTCAAGCAGTTCGCCATTATTCTCTCATCACATGTTCCAAGCCGATTGCTCCGCTCGTCAAACTCCCTACTGCTTACACAGCCTCACGTCAAAACAGCCATGGGATCAAGAGCGTTCTCTGCTGCAGGCCCCTATCTCTGGAACATTCTACCACTCGCCCTAAAAGAAATAGAATCTGCTGACGCTTTCAAAACTGCCCTCAAAACTCATTTTTGTTCAAACTCTCTTTTCCATAGACATTGTCTACAATTTTTTCTCTTTATAGCGTCATTGAGCAATATCTTTTGGAAATAGACGCACTATAAATCAATTATTATTATGAAAAACGGAGGATCTCCACCTTTAAGCAAATATTCATGTGCATACCGTGTATGGCCAATGCGACATCGTCACATAATGACATCTTCTTATTGGCAATGTAAGCCATATACGTCAAAAAATTGTTAACATCCTTCAAGTGGTGAACAGCAGATTTAAAACCTTTGTTTTTGTATCATATTCCACATCTTTGAGATAGGTGTCTAGAAATGTATCTTGGAAGCATAGTTTCTCTAAGACTAACGCTTTTTCGGTTTAAATGGGCACCCTTTGAAGGACGACCTCCTCGTGCTGGGTGCTGGGTGCTGGGTAACGCTTATGGCTCTTCACCCCAGTGTGGATCCGGGGGCAAATAGGTTGCACTCCAGAGTTGGTGGAAGACGGTAGTCTGGTATTTGAGGGCACTGGATCCAGGAATAGTGTTCCTTTGCGCAACACACCACTTCGACCCTTACTTCACCTAGACGGGTGTTAGAATGGGCCCGGTTCTATCAATCGGCTGGTCATGTTGAGCCATGTGCTAGCAGTTTATGTTATTTCTATACTTTGCAACATAATATTGTATTTGGGCTTCGAATGTTGGAACCCGTGAAGATCCGGGTTAGAATTGATCTTCAGTAACCCATGCTTGTCGTAAGAGGCGACTAACGGCATCGGGTGGTCAGGCTCGCTGGCTTGGTTGACACATATCATCTGTTCCCAATTGCGCAGGTCGATGCTCATGCTGTTGATCACTGTATTGTCTGGTCCAGACTCGATTATTTACAGACCTCCGCCATATAGCTGAAATACTGCTGAGTGCGGCGTAAAACCCAATTCACTCACTCACTCTAATATGGGGTTTGAAGTCAGTGTAAGGACCTTGAAGAGCATTCACGGAGTGAATCACATTTGATTTGGATACTTTTTATAAAGACAGATAGTTATTGCGAATCTCGTGCCAGCGAAGCTGAACACATCTACGCCATAAAGAGGCAACAGAAGACTAATCCATCATGTCAGCTGAAGGCAGGACAACAAAGAAGGGCATGAAAAGACTTGCCACATCGAGAAGACTAGTAGTTAAGGGGACAATAACTGCTGAAGATAAACATGACATATGTAAAGTAGGGTATGTTTGCCCACATTCACAGATTGAAGTTACTGAGGATTTTCAGGAATCGGACAATGAAAGAGAAAATTAAACAAAAGGAAGCATAAGGACAAGTATTTGATTTCATTTGTCCAAATAAGTTGGTGTGGACAATGTCCATTCATATTGATTGGAAATTAAAATGAATCCTCCAGGGGATGACAACTGTCTATTTTCATCCATATCTGATCAGCTTCAAACTTTAGGAGTGTACCTAAAGCAACAGTCGGACATGTTATTCTATCCGGTCAGAGTCAAATGATATATCTTGGTTACGTTCCTGAAAATGAATCTCGCTTGAGATACCATGTCCATAAAAGCAGTATACGCTTGAAAACGTTTCTTTTCCTGAACGATCTGCAGGATAAAAGAAACCTTCACGATAAGACTGCAGCCGATGGAACCAGTATTTTGGTTATAAATGAATAATTTACAACTTTGAATAGAACGGGGAGTGGCTCAGCATAAAGTTGTTATGCCTCTGATTAAAAGTTTGTATTGCTTGATTAATTCCCGAGTATACCATCGCTATGTCGCTAGGAATAATCTGCTCACCTAAACTCGAAACTAGGTACCGGAATCAAATGTGAAGAAAGATTCAAGATTGACAAAAACACACGTGACTTTCGAGGCTTGCAAGGTCCTGAAAACTGCAGTTTATCAAATTCCACTTGCATACAGCTGAATGAATCGACAATCAGTAAAGAGTTCAGTCTACATGTATATGGGATGGACTATCTTCTATGAAAGACTCGTTACAATGTTCAAACAGCTTATCTGAAAGAAATAACAGACATGGTTAAAGGTTGATGTGAGCACGTGATTTAGAGGTCGAGAAATGTTAAGTAAGTGGAGTGAAGAAACAGTGTTTATTGTTGTAAGGTTCAAACAATTTCCACGGATTTTTCACGATGTCATTCTGCCTCAAGTTTTGGGGTGTGACATGTACATGCTTGCTCTTTCTGTGGCTCCACTGAGTCTGTGGGTATTATTGTCCTTCTGGCAGATGGAGGATCATTTACTGGCCACCGATATATAGCGGGAATGTGAGTAAAGCGTTAAACAGATGGATGAAGAATAGGTATAACATATGTTTAATATAACTATGTGATAACAGAGCTGTCGTCAATAAAAATAAAATAATGAAAGACATATTAGTGAATGTTTTACTTCATTTTCACATCGGTCCCTGGTATGGTGATCTACCTTCAGTTTGGCGATCTATAGCCCATTTTTACATTGTATTGTCCAAAAATGCTTTTCTACTTTTAAGAATATATGCTAGCTAGTTTTAACTCAATCTGTGATAACCTAGTGGTTTTTACTGTCCTTCGTTGACAGGGTCTTATATATTATATAGATGTATTATGAATTTAGAACTAGTTTTAGACACGATATGGCTGAGATACGTGACTTTAAATCTCAACTCACTCACTCACTCATTTTCACATCGGACCATAGAACAACGTTCAGCTCTAAGCCATTCGACAATAGTTTATAGTTTATTTGGTATGTTATTCATCAGATTCATGCTTCATTACAAACTGTCATAAATATCGTGTTTATTAAAAGATATTCACAGCATCCCTTTTTGAATATTTTAATATCAATACAAGTCTCATCTGATTTCCATGCGAACAGCGTTGAAATTACAACCATTTAATAAGGGGTACACATTGTTCTGAAACTACAACATGTACTCTTCACAAATTGAAACGAGGGATTACACAAACATAACTAATGTTTCGAACGAAACTTCGTGAAAACGGGAATGTTGTACTTGTTCGATTGTTGACATTGGTATAATTCTATGGCGAGGAATCATAAAGAAACGTGATATAGTTTCTATAACGCGTTAAGACATGATATAAGACCTGAACGTGTAACAAAGTACATAATTTTTCAATACTCAGTTTCGAGTCTGCCTTTTCCTATTCAATAGGAAGTTTGATATGTATAGGGACATCTGCAAGTGAGTTTTACGACTTGTATTAATCTGAAACTATAAAATGGTGTATTGCAATTGTTCTAAACACGACCAGCCACGAGTGCTGTTACACTCTTAGATCCCTGAGTTTGTGAGGTAACACATATTTTAGGTATATCACGCTAGATCAGATTATTGTGGAAGGGAAGCATGATACCTTCTGTAAAACGGAAAAAATGTAACGAATTTGAGATTCGGGTGAGTGAGTGAGTTAAAACTTCACATCGGCAATATTTCAGCCATATCGTGACGAGAATTTGACTTTTAAGACTAAATACATAATGAATAAAAACCTGTCATCGATCGACAGTAGAACAACTAATTTATCACAGTTATAAGTTACAACTAGTTGATAGCATTTAAAAGAATAGATAATAATACACAACAACACATCGTAAAACGGACTATAGATCACCAGCAACTGAAAGTAGATCACTATGCTAGAGACCATGGGGACTTACAATAATTTTGGACTGCTTGGACCCTAGCTGGATTTATACCATCCGTTCAGCCACTGACGATTGTACTGAGATTTAGCCATTACATAAAAGAACAAATATACTAGGTTTCAACGTTTGGCAGACTGAAATTTACTTCGAAAGTTTTGGGACTTACATACCCTCTCGAACTTCTCCTGTTGACAATCTTTACGTCGAGGCAGATGAACCATCTCTTACA